CAAGAATCTCAAGGGTAATAATGAAGAAAAGTGGGAAGGAAGAGTGTCTATCAGTATCAAATTTCATACTATACTCTGAAGCACTAATCACTAAAATTTTATTTGGTACTGATTAAAAAAGAGAGGCCGATCAATGGAACAGACTAGGTCTACGATATAGAGAAGTAAACAAACATAGTTGCACAGTGTCAATAAACCTCCAGTTCCTGAGGGAATGTCTCACTCTTTGACAAAAACTGCTGGATAACTGGATGTCAGTCTGGCAGAAATTAAGTCTAGACCAGTAACTCATACTATGTTCCAAGATAAACTTCAAATGGGTATCTGACATAGATATAAAAATTCAGATCATAAATAAATAAGAAGAGCAAGGAAGAAATTACTTTTTAGATGTATGGACAGGGGAAGACATCATGACTAAACAAGTGATAGTGAGGATCAAAAAAGATAAAATAAAAAATTTTAGTTATATTAAACTATGTTTTTGCTTGAACACATCCAATGTAGTGAAAATGAGCATGGAAACAGATGACTGGGAAAAATAATCGTTCCAACAAGTTTTTCTTTTAAAGCTCTCATTTCCAAAATTCAGCTGAACTGATTCAAATTTAGAACATGATGAGCCATTCCCCAATAGATAGTCAAAGGATATGAGACAATTTTCAAAGGAACAGATTCAATCTATTAACAATCAAATGCTCTAAGTCACTAATAATCAGAGAAATGCAAATTAAATCAATTTTGAGGTTTCACCTCATACTCGTTATACTGGCTAAGATAGTAAGAGAGGAAAAAAAAACTATTGGTGGGAAAACAGGTAGACTAGCACATGGTTGGTGGAGCTCTGAATTTGTCTTGTCATTCTGAAAAGTAATTTGGAACTTTAGCCAAAAAGTTGCCAAATTGTGTATACTCTTTGACCCAGCTGTACTACTATTTAGCCGATACCCCAAAGAAATCAAAGAAAGAGGGAAAAGATCTACATATCCAAAAATACTTATAGCAGCTGTTTTTGGCTAGTTGTAAAGTAGAAACTAAAGGTTGTCCTCCTATTCAAGAATGGCTAAACAAATTGGGGTATTTGAATGTAATGAAATAATACTGTGCTGTAAGAAATGTTGAAATGGATAATTTTAGAGGAAAGTGGGAAGATTTTTATGAAATGGTGCAGAATGAAATGAACAGAACTAGGAAAACACTTTATAGAATGATGCCCAACATTACAGAGTAAAACACCTTGGAAAGACTTTAGAGCTCTGAGCAACAGAATGATAAACCACGAGTCCAAAAGAATGAAGATGAAACATTCTACTGACCTCCTGGTAGAGAGGAAATGGACTTAAAATGCAGAAAGAGACATCTGTTTCCCACACGTAGTTAATGTGGGGACTGATTTTGGCAGATGTGTGGATATATGAAGGATTTAACAAAATCTGCTTAGCTTTGGGGGTCAGGGTGATGGGAGGGACAGATTAATAATAATAAGGATAAACAACATGTTGCTTGAAATAAAAAAGTGGTACAGGACAGTGGTATGGGAGATGATGGGAGAGTGGCATGGGGGATAGATTGGAGAGCGAAGATTAGAAGCTGGTAGTCCAATTTGGAAGCCATTATACTTTGAGGCATTAAGGTCCTGAACTAGGGTGATAGCCTTGCAAGTGAAGCAAAGAGGGGTGGTGGTGGTGGTGGTTTCAGGGTGTATTGTAGAGATAGAATTGACAAGAGGTGACATCTGATTGGATATGGATGGCAATAAAAGCAGAGGAATTAGGGATGACTCCAGGGCTGCAAATCTTGGAAGAATGCTAGTGGTGTCAAAAGATATAGGAAAGTTAGGAGGAGCTGCAGATGGGAAGGAGGATGATGAGTTCTGCTTTGGATAAGCTGAGTGGACTCATGGCAAGCAATTGGCCTACGAAAGCCTGGATATTACTTGGCATCCTGATTTTGTTTTGGAGATAACTTATTTTCTTTCTTCAGCTTAAATGTCACTGTTAAAGTAAATTTAAAATTCTACATGAGTTTTGCTGTAAAGCCTTTTGGGTTATCCCTCATTGTCCACAAAGAGGGGATGTTTGCACGGCGCTGCCATTTCTAATTGTACCTCCTCTTGGAAGCCTTTCCTGACCACCTCAGCACAAAATGACTTATTACTCCTTGTTTTTAATCAATCAGCAAACACTTAGTGAGTGTCTACAGTGTACTGGGTGCTCTGCTAGGCACTGGGAAACAAAGACAAGCCTGAAAGACTCCCTGTCCTCAAGTAGTTTATGTTCTACCAGAGAAAACATCATCTACATTTATAAGTTTATACAAAATCACCTGTAATGGGGGAGAGAACAGTAAAGGCTTTGTGTAAAGTTTCTCTTTAGCTGAGTTTTGAAAGAAACAATGAAATCTCACTATAAGAAGCGAAACATAGGGTACAGTCACTGCAAAGGCCCAGGGTCAGGAGATGGGGAACCATGTTTGAGATACAGTAAGGTTAGCCTGACCTGTGTTGGAGTTTACAATCTATGCCACCCGTTGACTTACATGATTAGCTGTACTTCAGTCTTCTTCTACCCATTGAGCATTTTTCCATTACTCTTTGTGTTATCCCAGCTTTTGGTTCTTTGAGGAACCTTGTGGTTCTTTGTCTGTGCTGGGACAATATTGTACCTATTATATTTTAATGTTAAAAATCTTGGGATTATTCAACATGCCACATGTTCTTAAATGAAATCCAAACTAATCTTCTCCTCCTAAGGCTAGGCTCAGGTCATTGTCCGTCTCTGACACTTTTCCAAGATGTATATGCCGAGGAAATAACTCAGTACACTAATCACGCTACCGAAGTTCTGGATTTATAAAATACATTTCATCCGTATGTAATCATACTTTGTGATCTGGACAGTACATATTTTTAATTCATTTAGGTTTTTCCTATGTGGAGGACTGCTAATCTCTTAAGTGAATGTATAGCCCAGTGGGAAGTGAAAAGACCCACGGTGGGCACAAGATGTCTATAGCGTTCTGCCACATGACTTTCATTTGAGAAGTGGAGTAGAAGATATCATTAAGGACACATACGTGACATGATGTAGATTGGTCATGTATCAAGAAAGATAGCTTGGATGTGGCACTGGTGTGCATCAAACATTTTAATTTTTTAATTTTTTTTTGGCTAGGCAGTGGGGTTAAGTGACTTGCTCAGGGTCACACAGCTAGGAAGTGTTATGTGTCTGAGGCCGGATTTGAACTCAGGTCCTCTTGAATCCAGGGCCGGCGCTCTATCCACTGCGCCACCGAGCCGCCCCCAGTATCCACCAGATATTAAAAGATGGAAAGCTTCCAGTGAGTGTGATAGATCTCCTCTGAAAGGCTTAGAGGAAGAGACAGAAGCACATGAACTTGCTTTTCCTTGTGCCTGGAATGCACTTCCTCCTTGCTCCTGTCTCTCCACATCCTTCGCTTTTGTTGAGACTCAGCTTGGGTACTTCTTCCTGTGAGAAGTCTTCTTGATCCCCTCTTGTTTCAAGCGCTCTATACCTCTTCAGATGATCTCATGTTTACTTATCCAGCCACGTGTTGTACCTTCTGTTGAATATAAACTCCTTGAGGCCAGGGACTGGTTATCACTCTTTCCTTTGCATTCTTAGCACTTAGCACAGCGACTTGCTTCAAGTAAAAAATGATTGTGGAATGGAAATGAAATGAAAGGATAGGTTGCAATCTGTGTCTATATCAGTTAGGTGACATTGAAATGATATCAGTTATGTTTTTGTCAAACGTGGGCACGGTGGCCAAAGAACTAGTTTTTGAGTCAGGAAGCCCTAAGTTCAAATTCCGCTTCGGATATGTACTGACTCTGTGACTGTGGGCATATTGCAGTTTCTCAGTGCCCCCTGTAACTCTAAGACTAGAAGTTCTGGAGAAGCTGCTGACCTGCATTGGTGGAGGCAGTTTCCTCATCTGAGAGTTCCCTGTGTTAATGAAATCAAAAGGCAAGTCCTATCCTTGTCCTATCCTTGTCCTGTCCTTCTGTAGTAGAATGAAAATTCCCCAACGGCAGGTAGCGTGTCATTTTTTATCTTTGTATATCAATACCACATAGCACAGTGCTTTGCACATGGAAGGTCCTTAAATGTCAGTTTAAGGAATTTGTATTCATCCTTTTCAATGTTCGTTGAGTTGGAGGCAGGAAATATAATTTAGTATACAAATTATATACTATATACATATAGATGTATGTGTATAGTATATAATTTAGTTGCATTCAAGACAACACTGGAGTAATTTTTTAAAAAGTCCTGACCACAGACCAATCAACAAGTATTTGTTAAGCCCCTACTATGTGCCAGGCACTGGAGAGACAAAGACATTGAATTAACAGAAACTCCGTAAGATAGGTAGGATACATTTCACCAGAGAACCACCTGCAGATCACAGAACTTGGGGCAAACAAAAGGAGCTACTAACAATGATAGAGCCTTGCTCTAGTTCCTGATGTGACTGACTCTGGGCCTTGACTCCTTGGTTTCAATTGCCAGTCTTGTTCTCTGGTCTTCCCTCCTTAGGGACCTTATCTTTGACTTCCTTGTTCCTCTTGGGTCGAATCTTCTTTTGCTGACTCAGCTTGCAGAACACCATCACTCCTGCTGGAACGGCAAAGTCAGAGGTAGTAGCTGGTATTCTGATTTGGGAAACACCGAGGAAGCCACTTAGGCTGCAGCAGAGGGCAAATGGAAGTAATGTGGGAAGGAAATCTACAAAGGTGGATCCATTATAGCCAGACAATGAAAAGCTTTAAGTGACCAAGCTGAGGAGTTCGCATTTCTTACCTAGTAGCAATAGGGACCCACTGAAGCTTGTATAGTAGTGACACAGACTTGTGTTCTAAGATTATTTTAGCAATTACGTGTGTGTAAAAATGATTGGTGAAGGGAAGGAACAGAAATGTGTTTTTTTTTTTCCTATGGAGAACAAAGTGGGAATAATGATCAAAATACCAGCAATACTTGTAGGAATATCTGCTTTATTTTACATTTCTGGGCCACTTCCATTATGGGACCTTGGCATCTGGCTCATTTCTGTAGGGAGTCACTTTGCTGTATAGATATGATAAATTCTGTGGAAATTAGTCTCCTCAAAAGCATAATTATTTCCTACTAGGCTTACTGACAACCCACATACTTAAGCTCATGCAATTGCTATTTGATGCCAGAAATGTATGACGTTCTAGATTTATAAAATACATTTCATCCATATGCAAGAAACCGTGTATGTTTTTACAATTATGATTGTCTAAACAAAATTCTTGTAATACTATAGCTTATGTTATAGGCATATGTCATTTCATGTGCTGTACCAATAAATGAAGGGAATGTGACAGGGTAACACTTGAATAAGCAAAGTTTTCTAGCCTCTCAGTTTCAATGGCAGAACTTAGGATAAGTTTTTAGGTGGAGCAGTGTCTCGGATCATGTCTAAATGAAGCACCATAAATGAGCTTAGCTCTGTGTCAGCAAAGCAGGATTCCTGGCACTGTCTTCTAGCACTACTCTCGGCATCCTCATGAATGTATTGTCTATTTTTTTTTTCTGGTGCAGATGACCTCATCGGGATAGGGAAAGCCCTGTATGGTAACTCCCTCTACTGCTGTAAACTGTGTCAAATAGTCTGAAACATATAGTTAGGAAGAACTTCCTGGGCATTGAGAGGATAGGTGATTTAGTCACTCCACCATGATATGCTAGAGATAGTACTTGAACTCAGGTCTTCCTGACCCCATGGCTTACCCTCTATTCATTACACATAGCTGCCTATGTGTGCCTATGGACAGAGGGAGGTGGCAGCAGGAGGTTATTATAAGATAATACATTCCTATCACTGTAGCACAGGAGGTGACACAACCCAATATGTTACTTAATCAAAAAAATTAGTTAGAAAAAAAGAAGAAACCATCTTGTTGCAGTGGCCTTGTATATCACAGCCAGCATTTGTTCAATGTATTGGACCTCCCCCTTTGGAATGACAAGCGTGGTCACTAACTTTGGGAACAAAGAGGCTTCTGATGTAGAATTAATCATCTTGGTTAAATGTCCCCTAAGGACATTTCAGGATCCACTAGGGGGCACTACTCTTGAATAATACTATCAGGTTAAGGTTTGATACACAATTGCATATATTATATGCACACATATGTACATACACAAAGACACATCATGGACATTTAATCTCAAAAAAATTCTGCAAAGAAATTTACAAATGGTGTTTCTATGTACACTTGAAGGCTCTCTGCTGTGCACAGACTGTAAACATCTGGGAAGTTGCCCAGGATAAGTCATTGGAAGCACTTTGAAATGGTGACCTTGTGAGCAGGTTAACGTGAAGAAGGCTTGCGCTTTGGACCCAGGATATGAAGAAGTCCATGTTGGCATTTAGGATGATTACATTTCAACCTGACATGTTAAACCCCATGACTCTCCTAGCAGTCTTCTGTAGTAGAGAGAAGAGGCACTGAAACATAGCATGTCTAATGTTCCATGTCTAAGGATGGACATGGAACACTCAGTAGCTAAGAACTGGTGCTATCACTTAGCCATTTTTGAGAATCACTGAGAGTTAAAACATATATCCAGATGTATCAAAAGAAATGCTGCTAGAGTATGGATTACTAGGCTTTAAAATTGAAAACAAACAACAAACAAAAACCTCCAATGAAAATGGGATACTTGGCTTAGACTTTGAATTCCATATTTCCTTGCATTTCCTCTTAAGTCAGTGACAGTTACTGGAAATTTCAGAAATAGTTTAAGTGCTTTGTCTTTTACTTCTTAGTACATTCTCTTCATTTTGTAGGAGAAATAGATACCCCCAAAGAAAGGAATGGGCTTATGGAAAATGACTTTTGAATCTAAAAGTAACTCTAGTAATTAGTAAATGCCTATGGAATTGAAATGTGATTTGGGAATTTATGATGAGTTTCAGTGTGCCCTTTAGCTTAGAAAGGACCATTAAAAAATTTCCCCAAGAGGTTTCTTTAAAAGTCCTTAGACTAATTCTTAGAGTTACAGCCTGATAGAACACTAGATTGACAGGCAGGAAGACCTGGGTTCAAAGCTTGCCTCATATTTCCTAGCTTTGTAATCCTGAGCAAGTCACTTCTCTCTGAGCCTCGGTTTCCTCATCTATAAAATGAGGACAATTCTATCTGTAGTAGCTATCTCCTAGGGCTATTCTGGAGCTCAAATGTAGTAACATTCATAAGCACTTTGCAAATTCAAAGCACTCAGTAAATGTCAATTATTATTAACAGCACATCATCATACCTTCTGGTGCTTTCAGTTTGAGTTTTAAGTACCTGCTTTTAAGACATACATTTTTATAGATTCATCATTGCTTAGAGAAAACTTACTTTCTGACTGCTCACTAAATCTACTGCTTTCTTTACAAAATATGTGTAGAACAAGAGCAAATGATTGTGGCTATGCTACTAAGATATGTAATTTTTAAAAAAAGAATACTGGTGTGGACTGACATTTAAAACAAATGTGGCTTAAACTCATACTGTGTTTTATAAGAAAAACAAATTTCAACACTCAAGAGGCTGGAGATGCACTATATTGTCCACAGTCCTCCTTCTCATGGCCCTCACCAGCATTTCATGGTGCCATTTCCCAGCAGAGCTCAGCCAGAAGGTGCACTGTATGCCAGTCACACATAGGGGGAAAACTCTCACTTCCTGCAGAAGCAGCAGATATGTCCCTGGGGGCTAAGAACTCTAAGAGTTCTTTCCAGATTCTCCCCAACACTGCTGAATGCCATCTCTGAAAAATGTCAAGTCAGCTGAAAGCAGTCAGCTTCACAGGACTTAAAAGACATAACCAGGTTCCTGGACAGCGGTTCTCAAGTGCATTCTTCAGGGGTGGGGGCAGGGAAGAAGGACAAAATTGGTAAACTTCCTGGAAGAACATCTGTGGGGATCAGTCTTTCTTTCTTCCTAAGGCTTGAGGCATTGCTGGTATTCTGGGAATCAATTTATGCTGTCCTTGTGGCTGCTCCTGTCCGTGTTGTGGTGGTTTTGTTCATGGGTTTTCCACTGAATGCTTGTTCCATTCATAGGTACTGAGGTCATGAGGCTTTTAGACTGGTAGCAGCAACAGCAGAGGCATGACTGGAAAAGAGGAAAGCATTGAAAAAATGTAATTCTATCAATTAATTCCCCCAAAGAGTCAATAAGCTATAAATAAACTATAGAATAACACCAGTTTAACTCTTAAATTTCTTTTTCTTTTCTTTTTTTAGGCAATTGGGGTTAAGTGACTTACCCAGAGTCACACAGTTAATAAGTGTCAAGTGTTTGGTCTGAGACCGGATTTGGACTCAGGCCCTCCTGCTTTCAGGGCCGGTGCTCTATCCACTGCGCCACCTACCTGCCCCAACTCTTAAAAAAACAATATGTGTTTAATAGCAATAAAATAAAAAGCTGTCCCTTCCAGTGCCAACAGTTATTTTGTCTCTCTCCTGATTAATTCTTTCCACTTTGCAAAGAACAAAGGAAGACCATGTAGTTTAATGAGTAAAAAGTCACAAAGCGTGCTTTCTACTTCTTTGGGCAAGTTAGGGTACCAGCTTAGCTCTCAGTGTGCTGTTGTAATGTAGCCTTTAAAAACCAGACAGAAACATAGCTGAATTCTGAGCAATGCAGCGGTTAATTATGATGTCAGTGGACTGCTGGTGGTGCATTACCTCTCTCCTCTTTGAAGAGAGATAAGTGAACTAATCATGGGATGAGGAATGCAATGTCAGGCACCACCATTGTGTTGATTTGTTTTAGACTTCGCAGTACTTTTGGGGTAGCTAGGTAGCTTGGGTGCTGGGCCTGGAGTCAGAAGACTCTTCTTGAATTCAAATCTGGCTTCAGACAGTCTGGGAAAGTCACTTAATCCTGTTTGCCTCAGTTTCCTCATTTGTAAAATGAGCTAGAGAAGGAAATGGCACACTATTCTAGTATCTTTGCCAAGAAAACCCCAAATGGGATCACAGAGTTGAATAAGACTGAAATGACCAAACAACAGTACTTTGCTCCAAGGAAGAGATCTACTGGGGACATTGGGTAGAGTCATTGGGAGGTGACAGTGTCCAGGGCAAAATGCACATGAATAAAATGTTTACAGTATTTTAAAAGAATAAAATGGTCCTTAGATCAACAAAATGGGCTGTCCTCCGCCTCCCTGTCTCCCCAGGAGTAATTAATTAGCATTTGTCTGGCCATTAATGTTCCTGGTTAATGGAATAGTTTTATGACTATTATAAATATTTAACAATTTGAGCATCAACTCCAAAGATTCAGCTTATGGAGCAACAAGTAAAATTCCATATTATGGGGCTGCTATGTTAATTATGATGCTTTCATACTAAAACCATAATAATTTAATTAAGGCTAACTATCTGCAATTCAGATGGGAGTTACTTTCTAGTTTCTGGCTCTATAGGTGCTATGCCATCTATTTGAAACTTTCCAGCCTCCATGTTTTTCTATATAGCACATGTCCCCTATCTGGAAATGTATTTCCTCCTCACTTCTACTTTGGAGAAACCTTCAAAGCACAGCTCAGGTATCACCTCTTACAAAAAGACTTTCTCTTGATTCAACCAGTTATTAGTTCTTTCCTTCTTGAATTTACTTTGGATTACATTGTATATGGTTTGTCTTTACCTATATTATTTACTTACTTTTTGTATTTACTTGCCATACTTATTTGTGTACATGCTATATTCTCCATCCATCCTCCCATTTCTAGTAGAATATAAGCTCATGAAGAGCAGGGATTATTCCATTTTTGTCTATTAAAGGCTTAGCACAATGCCTGGCACATAGATGCTTGATAGATGTTTGATGTATTAAATTAGATATATATATATATATATATATATATATATATATATATATAGATATATATATAATATATATATATATGATATATTATACATATATATATATATATATTTATATATATATATATATGTATATATATATATATATATTATTTTATATATATTAAATTTCATCTCATCTAATTTCTTTACAATTCTTCCAGCTGGTGAAAACAATAGTTACTTTTAAGGTTAATATTGTCAAGGTCTGCTATTCATTCTCCATCCTCTAGGCAGTTAGGTGTCATGAATAGAGCACGGAATCTGAAGTCAGAAAGACCTGAGTTCAAATCCTGCCTCAGAGACTTATTAGCTATATGACCCTGGATAAATCACTTAATCTCTGTCTTTCTCAGTTTCCTCATCTGTAAAAATAGAGATAATAATACATTTACCTCCTAGGGTGGTTGTGAGGATAAAATGAGATAATATTTGTAAAGTGCTTTTTAAACCATAAAGCATCATTTGTTAGCTAATATAATTAGTATTAATAATAAAACCAATAATAACAATGTCATACACAATGCCAGTTATTGTTACTATTTTTCATTTTTCTTAAAATCACCTCCTAAAGAGCTCTTACCTGGAAACAGTTTTTAAACTTTTTGCTGACAAAATATAGTGCTATCGGGTTTATACATGAATTCATAGTTGCCAAGTTAATGCTGATGTAATCCATAAGCAATAAGAAACTAGAGCAAAAGAAAATAAAGCAGAATAATTAGAACATACATTATTTTTTCACATGGTAACTAGAACATATTTCTTAAGTAAGCATTCTTCCTGCCCAGAAGCCATTTCCAACCAATCTTTTCTATATTCTGTTTTTTTTAGGATGGTAGACTCAGTTTCATAAGGTTTTTTTTTTGGCCCCAAAAGCTGCTACATAGTTTGGATAGCACCCTTAAACACAGTAGCAGGAAGACTACAGACATGGAGGGAAGAAACTACCCTGTCTGTCTCCTTGCGTGTTGTAGTGGAAAGTTATTGGATTTGGAGTTGGGGATCTGGGCTATAATCCCAACTCTATTAGTTACCTGTTTGACCATGAGCAAAATACTTAACCTCTCTGTAATTCAGTTTCCTCATCTACAAAGTGAGAGGATTGAATGACCCAATGACCGGATGACTTAAGTCTCTTGTGCCTTTAAATGTATGATTCCTTTAGGGAGGCTCTCCCTCAAAGGGATGGCATCTAAACAGTAGGAGACTTCTTGAAGAGAGTGGACACCCAAAGGGACAATTAAAGTGTGCAGAATAGAGTCATAAAAGCCTTAGTCTATTGGGGGAATGCCCTAATTCTCTCCTAGGGAAGTTTGAACTTCATTTTACTCATTTTGAATGAGGAAATAGGTAAATGTCTGGTGCAATACCTAAGCAGTTCACACCGGTTCATGTCTCTCTCGTTGTACACAGTCTTCTTCAAGATTCGACTGAGATGAAGAGGAAACCAGCAAAGAGCAAAAATCACAACCAAACAGAAGACTGTTTTTGCCACTTCACGGCGCTAGAGAGGAAAAAAAAATACAAAAGAAAGTTATGCTGAGATAGATGAATCATAACACAAAGTGACTATAGCCATGAGAGAAAGACCTGTCCTTGCAAAGGGTCAGATAAATAGTTTTCCAGAAACCTTGTAAAGAATCTAGATACTAGTCAATATTCTAGATGAACTCTTTGTTAATTTAAGAAAAAAACAATGATTTTTGTTCTTATGTCACAGTCACTCCTTCCTTGCCCTGCTGATGGCCTGCAAACTCCCACCCTCTGCCCTCCTCACCTTGGGACACAGAAAAATAGTTAAGGAAAAATGCCTGAAGCAAATACTTTGTCTGATGATGTGTTCAGTATTCTGCTTTAGTAGTCCCCTGCCTCTCAACCAATAGGAAGGACAAAGATATATATTTCTTCATCTGTTCTTTGTAACCATGACTAATTTTGCATTTACTTAGCATTCAGATGCCTTTTAAGGAACTTTTCATTGGTGGTGTTGTAATGTGGGTTTTTTATTAATTTTTTTAATTTTGGGGGAGGGGGAGCAGTCTCCCAGCAATGAGACAGAAAAGGGCAAGAGGTAAGGAGGGCTTAGGGAAGATAAGGGTAGTAGAATCAGAGTTGTAAAATGTGTAAAACTCTGGCTGAGAGTGTTATGCTGGGCAAAAAGATTGTATTTTATCTGCTGGCAAGAGGCTGTAACTAACCTCGGGTAGCAGCTGTATACAGAGAAGTGTTGTTGACCACCCAAAGGTATTATGCACAGGAGGGGAAGGAGTAAAGGTTACCTCTTCTTCTGACACCACATTCTGAAAATGAGCAATTAGAGTTCTTTTGGTTAATACTGATTTTAGGTAGCATCATGCAGTAGACAGAATGCTGGGTTTTGAGTCAGTAGACATTGGTTTGAATCCTATTCCTGGGAGACCTGAGCCAAGAAAGTCACTTAACTTCACTGGCCCTCAGGTTCCTTGTTTGTAAAACAGAGATTGGATTAGGTGTCTCCCAAGGTCTGTTTTGCTTTTAAATCTAGGCTCTAATGATTCTTTCTAATCAGAGAAGTGTAGTGGACAGAACATCAGGCTTGGAGTCAGAAAGGACCTGGGTTCACAGATGTGACTGTGGGCAAGAGAATCATCTCTAAAACAGGGAGAGTAGTATCTACCTCTCTGGGTTGTTATGCGCCTCAAAAGCTATAATGGATGTAAAGTGTCTTGCAAATCTTACAGTACTACATATATGCCAGCTATTATTATTATTGTCAATCAGTCAAAAACATTTGTTAAATGCTTACTATGTGCCAGGCACTGTGCTAAGGGCTGGGGATACAGAAAGAGGCAAAAGACAGTTCCTGCCTTAAAGGAACTTACAATCTAATGTGGGAGACAACATGCAAACAAATACATACAAAGCAAGCTCTCTCTCTCTCTCTCTCTCTCTCTCTCTCTCTCTCTCTCTCTCTCTCTCTCTCTCTCTCTCTCTCTCTCTCTCTCTCTCTCTCACACACACACACACACACAAATAGGAAATAATTAAGAGAGGGAAGGTACTAGAATTGAGAGGTTGGGAAAGCCTTCCTGAAGAAGATGGGATTTTAGCTGGGATTTGAAGACAGCCAAATAAGCCAGTAGGCAGACATGAGGAAGGGGAGCATTCCAGGCATGGGAGATAGCTAGAGAAAATGCCTGGAGCTGTGACATGGATAGTCTTTGTTTGTGGAACATCCAGGAAGCCAGTGTCATTGGATAAAAGAGTACATGTTGGTGAGTAAGGTGTGAGAAGACTGGAAAAATGGGTTAAGTTATGAAAGGCTTTGAATGGCAAATAGGCTTTTTAATTTTTGTTTGAATTTGATTCTGGAAGCAATAGGGAACCCCTGGAGTTTATTGAGTAGGGTTGTGACATGATTGGACCTGCACTTTAGGAAAATCACTTTGGTGGCTGAATGGATGATGGATTAGAGAGGGGAGAGTCTTGAAAGGGACAGATCCGTTGGCAGGTTACTGCAATAGTCCAGGAGTGAGGGGATGAGGGCCCAAGCCACAGTGGTGGCAGTGTCAGAGGAGAGAAGGGAGTGTGTTTGAGAGCACTTGCAAAGGTGAAATTTATAGGCTTTGGCAACAGATTGGATATGGGAGAGGTGAGAGACTGAAGTGTCGAAGATAACTCTTTAGTGAACCTGAGGTAGCGAGAGGATGGTGTTGCCCACTGCAATGACAGGGAAGGTAAAAGGTGGGGAGGTTTTAAGGGGAAAGATAATGAGTTTAGTTTTGGACATGTTGAGTGGATATCCAGTTTGAGATGTCTGGAAGGAAGCTGGAGATGCAGGACGACTATAACCATAACGTGGGATTCAAGCAATAGGGTGTGGTTGAAAGAACAGTACCATACACACAGATCTGTGGCTAAAAGGGCCCTCAGACATCATCTGCTTTAACAGATCATTTTATAGATGAGGAAACTGAGGCCCAGAATCAGCAACCATTTGAACTATTAGGTATAGGGCTGCTTTATGAAGCAGAGGAGCCAGTGTGGATTGGACTGGCTTTGAAGGTCTGGGCGCTCCAAAGTCTATACCGGATTAGGAAAATCACAGGTTGTGATTTTTCTTTTGGCCATTAACTGGGACACATTGTGCTTATTTTCTAAGAGTGTGTACATTTAGAAATTGAGCTAGCCACGTAAAATACAGACTGTCTGCAACTGGGATTAGCCAACATCAAGAGAAAACTGATTGAAATGGGGATTGGAGGCGTAACACTGCCTTGCCCCTAACCACCTAGTATTAGGTGTGTGAAGCCTATAATAAGCCCACATGACTAGTACAACCACACTAAAGGTTTTCAGGAGAGTCAGTAAAGACAGGGTTGCCTCCCCTCTACCCAGTGAGTGCTTATTTGATTTTCTAGAATTACCAGTTAAGCTGAAATATGGAAAAACAGTGGTCTCAGGTGGAACATAATAGAATAGAGGTATCTCTTGCAGAAAGAAGATCCTACCTGTGGCCTATTTGTTCTTATTGGTGCAGCTTTTTAAAAGGACCTAAGGGTGCCTAAGGGTAGGCAGAGTGGTGTAACAGAGTATTTGCTAGGTATCAGAAGAAATTAAGAGTTGGGTTCTATAATTAGAATGCAGTAGATCACTTACCAGCTATGTGATCAAGTCACTCAATTCAATTCAATTTAATAGATTATTTATAGAACAGCTACAGTGTGGGAGGCATTATTCACCAAACCTCTCTGGACATCAATTTTCTTATTTGCAAAATGGGGTTATTTTCCCAGCTCTACAAATAACTCATTGTGTGACATTAACTTCTTCAAGTCTCAGTTTTCTCATCTGTAAAATACTGTTCAGTTATGATACCATTTGGGGTTTTCTTGGCAAAGAGATTGGAGTGGTTTACTTTCTTTCTCATTTTACAGGAGGAAAGTGAGACAAACAGGGTTAAGTAACTTGTCCAGGGTCACACAGTTAGTAAGTGTCTGAGGCCAGATTTGGACTCAGGAAGATGTGTCTTGCTGACTTTAGGCAGGGCACTCTATCCACTAAGCCACCTAGCTGCCCAAATGGAGCATGAGGTAAATGTATATGTCTTAAGCAAGATTTGTTTCTCTTCCATCTTCTTCCTCCCCACTGAGGGAGAAAATAAAATGTGTATTAATTGAAAAAAGAAAAGCTGTCCTTCTCATTGTTTTCCATACAGTGTCAAGAAAATAATCACATTTATAAGCTTTCAGATGTGGGACACATACTGACTGTATGACTCATGTCAATTCACTTAATCTCTTAAACTGAAGTATCCCAGGCAACTCTCTAAGTCCCTGAGATGCAAAAGAGTTGCCAAACAACATAGGTATAGGGAATTTCTTTACTGGGAGTTGGAGTTTCAATCGAGAGCAAAAAATAAATTAAAAAATAGTGTCTTAAGGGTTTACGAAGTACTTTCTTCATAGCAAGCTGTGAGTGAGGTGTGGGGGGGGGTAAATATTATGATTTTCATTTTATGGTGAAGGTTCTCAGAGATTTAGATGATTTTTAATTGAGGATCAGGAATTTAAAGCTAGTCAGTCAGTAACCATTTATTAAGTGCATGCTATGTGCCAGGCACTGTGCTAAGCATTGGAAATACAAAGAAAGGCAGAACACAGGCCCCTACCCTTAAGCAGCTCACTATCTAATTGGGGAGATGATAAGAAAACGAATATGTACAGAGAAGCTATATATGTAGGATAAATAGGAAATAACTAATAGAGGGAAGATGCTAGAATTTTTTTTAAAAAAGGGGGATTGGGAAAGTCTTCCTGTAGAAGATGAGATTTTAGCTGGGACTTGAAGGAAGCCAGGAAAGTCAGGAGGTGATAAGGAAGCACATTCCATACTTGGGGATAGCCAGTGAAAAAGCCCAGAGTTGGGAAATGAAGTGTCTTGTTGATGAGACAGCAAAGAGGCCAGTGTCACTGAATAGTCTAAACCCCTCATTTTATAGATCAGGGAAATGAGTTTCATCAAAGAGGTTAAGTAGCCTGACAAAATTCTAATGAGTGGCAAGTAGCAGATCCTAGCCATAAAACCCTGTTCTGTGACTCAGAATCCAGTGTTGTTGTTATGATGCCTCTCTCTTTGCTCTGGGGTCACAAGGAAATGATGGAACTGGGATTCTGACCCAGGAGTCTCCCAACCCCAAGTCCAGTGCTAATGATATACCATATGTGAAAATGCTTTCAAAACAGCAAAGCTCTATACAAGAACAGGCTACCATATCCTACCATAATTTGGATCCATCCAATATGGCGGCAAGCTCTTTAACAGCTACTTCACATTGTCTAGATACCAATGTGGGCCGTCCATTGGTTATCTCTCTCTCTCTTGCTACATGAGTAAGTCATCTTTTCCTTAGATCATACTGTATTATGTGACATTCTACATTTGTAAAAATGGTACTAAACTATCTTGTGGTTTGGGTTTTGAGGTCATAGGGCTACCTACTTACTACATCCACAACTTTATTTGGACCATGAAGTATTTGCTCAAGAAGGAACTCTACTGCCAGGTTTTGGTTCTCTTTTCTGTTTACCTCAAATGGGATGACATTTGTACTGTACTGTACTGTACTGCACTGTATAAATGCAAATCATTACCATGATTATTACCTGCTTAAGGTGCTCGCTGAGTGCAATTCTCAAACTGCCATTTCTTCTGTTGAGCATCTCACAAGTCATTAGGGTATAAAAGATGGCAGTACATGCTAACGGTACACAGAAGTAGAAACCGAAGAGCCACCAGTCTTTTGCATCTCGGTAAAACTGTAAATAGAAGAGGGGGAAGAAAAGAGAAGAATAATCATGCAAATTAAGTGCAAAGTATCCCTGAAATATGCTAATGGCAAGGCTGCAGCAGCAAGATCCTTATAAATAGAGAAAAGTTTGTACCCCTGTTCTGGTTGTAATAATTCAATGATGACAAGGGAGGAAAAAGTCAATTCTTAAGTGGAAAACTCAGAAAATTATCTTACTCTTTTACTAGCACATAAATAATGTAGAATTTTAAACTTAACATATGCTAATGTTCCATCATGCTGTAGAGGTGACCCTGGATTCTTGAAGGCTCTCTCAATGGAATGCAAGCTTTGGCAGGTGCTCCCAAGTTGGAAGGGCTTCAAGTCCGGGTCCTGGTGATAGACAATATGGGATTTGTCCAAGGACCAGCCTGGCCAAGCACACAGAAACTCAGCCCTGGAAGATTAGCCGCCAAGTAATCAATTTTTTTTTTTTTAGCCATAGCAATTCAAGAAATGTGAAGGGACTATAATTTACACCAATTGTGGTAGTACCTCATGTATGAAATAATGGATTTTTAAGAAAATACTTTAAATTAAAAAAAACACCTAGGTTTCAATTGAATACTTTTGGATAAAGACCTCTCTTTGGTTAAAAAAAAATTAATCTGTGTTTTGAAACATGTAGTCATGGCTATGTTATGTAGCATATGGCAAGTGCTTAAAGTGCTCTCCAAATACCAGCTATTATGATAAGAGGCAGTATGGTGTAGTAGATAAAGCTGAACTTGCAGTCAGAAGACCTGGGTTCACATCCTAAGTCTGGCTGTTATTAACTATGTAACTATCAGAAAATCATTTGACTTCCCTAAGCTTCAGTTTTCTTATCTCTAAAATGGGGATAGTTACTTGACAAGGTTATTGTGATGCTTGGATGTTATGATGTAGGTAAAGTGTTTTACAGACTTTAAAGCACTGAATAAATGTCAATTATTATTTGATTACAGTAGAGCACAAACTCTTTGAGGGCATGATTGTTTTGTTTTGGTCTTTGTATTCCTAGGTCCTAGCAAGTGCCCAGCACATAGTAGGCACTTAATAAATTCCCAGCAAATTTTATTGATGCTAGTTTGCTTTTATCCCTTGGGTGAATGGACTATATGAGGCTGATGAATGGTCAGTGTGACTACTTTGGCTTCATAGGCAGTTAACCCCTTGCCTGGTATGTATGCTATGTGACCTCACTGCTGGAAAATTAGAGCCATCAGTAACTTTTTTCACTGCTTTTTAAAAAAATGCTTACCACCTGGAAGTCATTTGAAGAGAATACCATCTCTCAAGGAGGACTGAGCTTAACTTTCCTGCTGGGTTAGGGAAGTGGTCATACTAGCTAACCCAAGGACTGTTCTATTTCCTTTTAAAAATGAAAACTTTGATTTTCAATGAAGATGGAGATTGAAACACTATACTTATAGACTTCCTGCCTTCAAATGATTAATCTGAGAAGGAAAAAAACCCCTTCTTTCCCATCATTTCCTTCCAGATTGTTTATTTAGCAAGGACATACCCTGCTCTGTCACGTCAGTTCCCACAGTAAAAAATGATGGGACTAGTCTATGAAGAGTTAGGTAATTTCTGATTATAATACAAACAATGAGAGGCCCACAGGGTAGTGTTTACAGTATTTCTATTAATGACTCCTGAGTAATAAAAATGTTATACAAAATTACAAAGAAATTAACTTATTTAGGGCTATTTATGTAAGTGTTTCCTTGGAAGTGTTTCCATTCTACATCAGTTCAACAATGTGATACAATGGAAAAAGTGAGAGGACCAGGGTTCTAATCCTTTCTCTACCAGTTAGTTCCTGGGTGATCACAGGCAGATCACTTCAACCTCTCAGTTTATTCATCTGTAAAATGAGATTGGACTGGATGACTTCTAAGTTTCATTCTAACTTTGTGATCCTATGGTTCTATGGGCAAAGAACTGACTGAGTGCCTTTTATGGGTAGGACATTGAGTTAAGCCAATGATGTCCATTCAAAATCATTCTATTCTTTTAAGCAATAAAAACAAGTAAAGAGATGAGTAAACCCAAGATTGATTGATGATGGAACGAATGCTGGGGTATTGTGTTCTCTATCACAATGGCAAAGTCTGGTGGAGAAAAGGAATGCCAAAGTGGCGTATTTAGGCCACAAAGGATCTCTGCTAAATTTAAGCTATGTCTTGCAGAACACAAATTACAGAAAGGGTCTTCTTTTCTTTGACTCCAATGAATCTATGATCTCCGTGATGTTAGTATTCTCCCAAATTTCATAGATCATAAACCATCCATGCCTACACAATATATGCTGCTCTAGCCTACATCCTCTGTAAATGCACTACAGGAGATCTGCCCAATGTACTGAGGGCACTCCTTTTGTTCTCTCAACAGCACAAGGCCACCAGAGGAGTGAGTGACTAATTGCTGGAACTATCAGGTGTGCCTCATGCTTGTCATGTGACTAGCCTATCTATTCATTCATGGATTTCTTTGATATCTTTTATTTTTCCTTCCACACAACTTCTTACCTTTGTAACTGTAAAAAAAATCCACATCAGAGAGAGAACTCCTTATTTTATTATTTGTCCTCCCAGAAATGTGAGGGCTATATGTACAGTATTTTTCCCAGTGCCCCCTGTCCTGTTGTCAAATGTGGAAAGCTGGATGTTGACCCCATGATTTTTGGAGAGTAGGCTTACTAGCTCTAGGATGGGAAAGGCTACTTCATGTCTCCAGAACAAGGGTCAGAAACTTTGTCTTATGGGACTATTGCCAGCATGGTTAAAATGAATGGAATGTGGGGAGTTGGGTGAGGGTAGAGAATGGCAGGCCTAACTTATTGGTAGGGAAGAAGGTAAAAAGAGAGTATAAGAAAGAGATGAGAAAAAAGATTATTAGAGAGGAATCATGGAATTTCAGAATTGGAAGGGACCTCAGAGACCAGTTAGTCTAGCCCATACCTAAACAAGAATTGTCTTTAAAACATACTCAAGTGGTTATCCAGACTTTTCAATCAATAAACATTTATCATGCACCTACCATATGCCAGGTACTGTATTAAGCACAGGGGCCAAAGACAGTCTCTGCCCTCAAGGAGCTTACAATCTAATCTATTGATTCCATCTATCTATTGATAGATGGAATTTGAGCTCCTTGAAGACAAGGATCATACTTTTTGCCTTTCTTTTTGTCCCCAAGATTTAGCATAGTTCTCGCAACACAATGGGTGATTAATAAAGGCTTGTGGACCAAATGACATAGTTGGTATGTCAATTGGTTTTATTGAACTGTTTTTCTTTGGGTTTTTTTTTTTGGTGAGGCAATCGGGGTTAAGTGACTTGCCCAGGGTCACACAGCTAGTAAGTGTCAAGTGTCTGAAGCTGGATTTGAACTCAGGTCCTCCTGACTCCAAGGCCAGAGCTTTATCCACTGCACCATCTAGCTGCCCCCACTTTCTTAATTACAAGAAAGGGCTGGGCAAGGTGCAGAGGGGATTAGAGAGGGGAGTATTATCCAGAAGTGACTATGATGTAAAAACAAAAAACACCAATGAAACCTTATTTAAAATTTTTTTTGAATACTTCTAAGAGAATGGAGATCTGCTATCTCCTGAGGAATCCTATTTAGTTGTAGGGATGGCTCTAAGGGAGATTTCCCTTATATCAAACCTAAATTTTCCTCCTAGTAACTTCCATCACTTTTGCTCACTGGAACCAAAGAGAGAAAGTCTGCTTACTCTTCAACATACTCTTCAACAGCCTTTAACTTTTTGAAAACAGCTAAAATGCTGTTTGCTGGTCTTCTGAAGGCTAAAAACCCCCAGTTCCTTCAACTGATGCTCATATGGCATGATCTCACCATAATGGTTACAGTTCTCTGATCATGTTCCAACTTATTATTCATGTCCTTCCTAAAATATGGCACCCAGAACTGAACACATAACACCAGATACAGTCTAAGGGGGAAGAACTAAGAGAAAGAAGAAGGGGGAAAAAAAGAGATGTATGTATGGTAGGGCCTTGTAATCTGACCCTCATAACTGTTTAGGATAACCTCATCATCCTGCAAGATTTCATGAGCCTTGAGACTTCATTTGATTGTGGTAGGGACATAGGTTGATGGCCTTTCCTTGGAGAGTAATTTCTGCTACCGGGTTACAGACTTGCTCTCTCATTTCCATGGCATCTTGGATCTTGGTATTTGAACACTAGATGATAACAGCTGGAAATGTTATACTCATAATCATGTTACTTTTATGCTTCAGAATCTTTAGTAGTTCCCTATCATAACCTCTTGAATAAATTTCAAACTCCTATGTCATCCTACTTTGTGAGACATTTCTTATTACCCACCATGACCCATTCCATGCTCCAGCTAAACCGGACTCTTTTCTGCCACACTGCGTCATCCTGTTGCTGTCCCTTTACTCACACTGCTCCCTATGCCTGGAATGCCTTCCCTTCTCCTCTCCATCTACTGATGGTTGATTTCCATTAACTTAGAAATCTTAAAAAAATTAAAAATGAAGTTTCATTGGTGCCTTTTGTTTTTACATCACAGTCGTTTCTGGATATCCTTTAAGCCCATTTAGATATGACTCCTTGATGACACTTTTCCTTCCCTCTGAGTAAGTTAGGACTTAATCCCTGAGAATTTATAGTTTTATACTTTCTAAGGTACTTATTATGTAAATTAAAATGTATGCTGCAAATTATAGTTATCTCAATTCAATCAGTAAGCATTTATTAAGCACCTACTATGTGCCAGGTACTATGATAAGCCTTGGGGATACAAATATGTAAAAAAAAGACATTCCCTGCCCTCAAGGAACTTATATTCTAATGAGGGAAGTCAACACAAAAAGCTGAAAAGTGGGGGTAGGTACCCAACAGAGGAGCATGATGGAGAAGTCAGAGAAGTTCCAAAGTAGTACAACTAGGTGAAAAATGAGGTGTTTGAGCTGAGCTGTCTAAGTAAGTG